AAAATATTAGTTATCTATAAAGTATATATTACGTATATTAAATATAAATTAGAAACCTATAAAAAAAAAGTGTCGCAACCTTTTAGTGAGCGAGTGTACAATGGACGACCATATTATGTCCATGAACGTATGGTAGTAAAACGGACGTCCATAAGACGTACGGTGCTATTTGGGGTTGAAGGCAACGATGAAGATGATGATTGACATTGAGTAATATTTTCAGCAACAGCATTTCTTCTTTTTTTGTTCAGATGAGAACTAATATTTGAATCCATAGATAAAATTGTATCATCTAACACTGTGTCATTAAAACTTTCATGGCTTCCACTCAATGTTAGAGAATCAGAAGAATCTATAAAATAATAAAACAAATATTTAATCACACAGATGAATAACTTAGTAATACAGTAAAAAAATTTTTTTATTGTATAATAAAAATACATAATAATAGAAGATGTATATTTTCATTAAAACTTTCAATAATCAATTTAAAATTTTCAATGTAAAACCTTTTTATCTTGGAAATTTATATGTTATTAAATTATATATACACTGCTCAAAAAAATTATGGCATAGAAAAATTTTGAGCAAAAATTGGTCAACTTTGGTTAACGGTAACTCCGCGAAAAATTATCGTAAAATGATGAATTTTTTTTCAAATAAAAGCTTGAAATCTCTACTTTAAAATACCGTGAGTCGATTTTAAATTTAATGCACCCCTGTGGCTGTAAACTCTTAAATCTGAGAGCATGTTTGCCACACTAAAAATTGCAAAGTTTGAACGAGTGCACGGACTTGCTAAAATTTTTCCCTGGCATGCGGTTTCCAGCGTCATAAAGTTGGAATCTTTCTCTTTAATTTAAAAAAAAAAACAAGTCGCTACAATTTTTTTTCACAAAATTACAGCATTTTGAAGTAACCCTCGTATTTTTCTCATGTACGTTTGGCATTGTCCGATGTGCACTATAGGGAGTTAGCAATTGGATTTTGCACATTGTATGAGTGCGGGCGTGTGTAAAACATACACATATACACACACGGTGTGCAAAATCCGATCGTCAACCTACTTATAGTGCACATCGGGTAATGTTTATCATACACGAGAAAAATACAAGGGTTATTTCAAAATGCTGTAACTTTGTGAAAAAAAATCGTAGCGACTTGTTGTTTTTTTCAAATTAAAGAGAAATATTCCAACTTTATGACACTGGAAACCGCATCCCCGAGAAAAATTTTAGCAAGTCCGTGCATT